CACAAAAAAAACCCCCCCCCCAAACTAACAAACAAAAAACAAACAAAGTCTGCTTCGACTATCAAGGCACCCCGAAAAAAAAAAAGTTCACAAGAGAGGGACAAACGTACAACAGAAGTAGAGGACAAATGACGATAGTAAGGATAAGGAAAGAAAAAGCGGCAGTTCCCCATACGCAGTTCAGGCACAATTTTGAGCATGACATTGACGAATCAGCTCATTTACAATTCTACAGTACATAAAAACATGTTAACGTCCGCCCTTTGGGAATGGCTTAAAGACACGTCAGTCAGTAGCACCCCCCTCGCCCCTACATACGCACTACAAGCAGCACAAGGAATAAAATAATCTCTTACCAAAAACATTATAGTACGCATGTACAGACATTCTAAGAACATCTTGGAAAAAAAATTAGGTAGTGCTTGATGAAGACTACGTGGGACGCTCACTGATAGAAACAATCAGGAAAAGACAAGTGTAGTTATGGGGACACACCTGAATAGACATAAAGGTCTGAAACATCTAGCTCTAAATGGCAAAATTGAAGGCAAACGAGGCACGGGTAGGCCCAGAGCAACCTACTTGGAGAACCTAAACGTATGGGTGACGGCAGAGATATGGGTAAAGTAGCTTTTTTCGAGAGCAACCGAGCAAAGGGATCAATGGAGAACCATGATCGCGAATGTCTGCCGCAGATATGGCACTTGATGACCATAAGGATGTTATGGCACTTGCAACACAATAAGGTCCTAATGATATACGTACTGACGATTAGAGGCATTACAAGAGAGTTAGAAACACAATAAGAAGGAGGAGAGATAATTGTTTTTGTAAAGTGTTTTACGGCGCTCGCAACTGCATAAGGTCATATGAGCGCGCGGGACACACCTATTATTTTCAGTTGGTAGGAAATTTTGAATGTTGCCCGGGTGGCGGCCGAAGCCTACTCTAATCGATTTTAGACCACCAAGGGATCTTTAACGTGCGCAACTTGCACACGGGCCCTCCGAGATTTTTCGCCCTT